TTGATATGGTTCCATGGGGTCACGAAGAGTCGGACACGACTTAACAACTGAACAACAACGAGTTTCTTCCTAGTCTGATGCATTGTTGGAGTCTTTTGAGTTAGTTTTTGGGTTGCAGTGGTTTCATTAGCCTACTAGATAATATCACCAGTACAGAAGATTTGGAAAAGTGAGGTTCAGTGATTGAATGGGGTTATATATTTGTCTAGTTTTGCTGCTTTGCACATGCTTGGAAATGGTAAACTGTAGACAGATGTTTTGTAAGTGATTGATGCCTTATTTGATTAATTGTCTGATAAGGTGATTGTTCTGTCTTACCTGTCCGTTGATTCCTTCCTGGGTGATCAGTGATGTTGCTACGTGCTGTGATGGCTTGTTGGGAGGGTGTTCTTTTTGCGTATGTGCTTGTTCAATTGTGGTTGGGTTTTGGTTATTTGGTTGATAATGAGATGGCTCTAGTTCATCTAGGGGTTGGTTGATTGCTGTGTGATGGGGGAATGTTGGGTGTTTTGCTGATGCCTGCATTGAATTTGTAATGTTGAATTTTTAGTTATATCTTTTGATATCTTCATAAATAGGATTTAAGTCAATATGTCTGTTGATCCCTGTTTGGTCAGAGTGTAATGCTTTTAAGTACTCTCTTGCATTTTTCAATTTGGCTTTTTCTAAAGATTTTCACTGTTTTCCAGTTGAAGTTATGCCCAAGGTTATCTGTGTGGAAGGAGATTAGAAAGTTGTGTTGTTTCTTCTGACAGCTAGTTCATGGATATGTTCTGCTAGTCTTCTGCCTGTTTGTCCTACATAGTGATGTCCATAGTATTTTTCATAGTTCATAGCATTTTAGTTTTAAATTACTCTTGTACTGTCTTCCTTTGGTACTGGGTCTTTGGGTTTCCTTAGTATATTTTGTAGGTATTTTGTTGGTTTGTGTGCCACATTTATTTCAAATGGGTGGCACAGCCTGTTAGTGCATTCTGAGATGCCTTTGATGTAATAATGGATTATTCTTTTTGAGGGCTTAAGTGTTAGTGATATTGGTTGGGTTGATGTGCACTTTTTGATGAAATTATGCAAATATTGCTTACATTGAAAGATCTCTTGTAGGTAATTTATTTCTGCTTTCTATAATTACATGTGTTGCAATGTGTCCAGGGTCCTCATGAAGCTGAATATGGGTGAATAGGGTCTTCATGCAGCTCTTTTTGTGTGTTGTTGGGTTGTGCTTTTTAATAAATATGCATTGTCGTATTTGCACATAAAGTATTTACTTTTAAATGTCTAATTACACTGCTCTGAAGTACAGACCTCAATTATTAACTGCCTAACAATCTGTAAATTAACATTCATTTCACCATCAATTGAATAGTTGTTTGAGATTAGATTATTTTCACAAGGAAAAAGCTGTAATACTGTAAAAAGATTTACAATAAAAGATTTTCTCTTTCTCTCTCTCTCTCTCTTTCCCACAGCCAACATAAATGTGGATATATCAAAGCCTCTGAAAGCCAGTATCAGTTTTGTCAAGCTAGATCAAATAAAACAATTTCTGAAAAAGCTAAGGCAGAAGAGTGATTATGAGGCCCAGGAGGGAAATGTTTCAGCAACTGATAGTGTTCCAAAGAAGGATGACATGTATATATCCCAGTCTTGCAAAAGTAAGATTTCCAACTCTGAAGATCATAGTTATGGAGGGGAAAAAGCTTCAGCACAAGAAAACTTATGGATGAGCATTTCCTGTTGTCAGCAATTTTCTATCCATACAACTCAGATTATGGTTTCTGTGGAAACTTGCCCAAATCCCTGTAAACCTTGTCTGTTAGTATCTTTATCGAACCTCAGTGGAAATTTGAATGTCAAAGTCAACTGTAAGACTAAAGGTAAGAATGTTGAAGTTATTTTTGTTTATGATAATGGAATCATTATGACAATAGTAATATATAATTAACTTTAATTATAATATAGGGTCACTAATAAACCTAGAGGGTGGATACATAGTTTTCATTTGGAACCATTTCATTTGGGCTTTCACTCAACATATGGAAATAACCAGAATGAGACTTTCTTAACCTTGGTGCCCTCCAGATGTATGAGAATAGAAGTCCATACATCTGGAGGGCACCAAGGCTGGGAAATGCCTCCAATTTCTTAGCAATGATCATATTGGTGGAGGAATTCTGGAAATTGAAGGCTATATATCTAGAGAGCCTCCTAATTGGGAAAAATTGACCTAAACTGAGAACGAGAAAGGGACAGGGCCCCATTATTTCTTTCATACATACATATTGTTCTTGATGTGTTTTGAGATGTATCTATTCATCAAAGAAAATATTGACTGGTTTTTGAAAGGTCATATGAATCTACTCTAGGCTGCCATACTTCTCAAGCAAGTAGAATATGCTGGACCCACTTTTTCCTTAGGTAAGTCTGTAATGAGGCAATCTGCAAATGTTTTTGAAGTTTCAGAAACAAGTAAAAATTATCTTGATAAAGAAACATATTCCAAAATATATGAGGAATAATACTTTTGTCTTGGTTTTGGCTATCGCTGCTATTATATTTTATTGTTCACTTGGACATCTCATCAGTTTTTGGTACTATTTAACATGATACTCTTCTGGACTACCTGGTGGGTTGGGGTTTTGGAGGCACTATATAACAGAGTTATATCCTTCTGTTTGTTGGGTGCAGAAGTTAGTATTGAAAAACTGTTGTTTGGCATCACAGCCATTAGTTATGGTGCCCCACAGAATTTAATTTGCCTGCATAATAATGAATACATACAGAAATTAATGTGGATGGGTACAGAGCTATGGAGTGAGGAATTGTCAATATGCAGATGACACTGAGATCTATGGCACTTTGTTTTCTAAAGCTAAGGAATCAGTCAAATATTTTGAATATTGCTTCAGCTTAAAATGGGCTATCCAAAAAATTAGCACAATTTAGAGAGTAGGATTCAATCACGTTCTAGAAGCGTTTGCTCTCCATCTTGATAGATCAAGAGTGCTCTTTGATCTTATACTAATCTTTGATCTTATCTTCGAGGACCAATAGTAAGAAGTAGATGGTCCAACTATTCTTTGTGCACAAGGTGTGACTGTGTCTGAGTTTGCTTGTTGTATTAATTACACAAGCTTGGTTTCATTATATCTATACTGTTGCAATGCCCCAACATAGTACTACCTCTAAAAATGGCGCAATAAGCTACAAACCAATCTGTTCTGTCACACAATCATATTATTTTTGGGGTTAAAAGTTCTGCTCTGGACTGATTGCCAGTTGTTTTTTGTAACCAACTCAATGGTTTGGCTTAATGTGAAAACTTGAAATGATTTGGGTCCAGGTATTATAATGAATCATTGGCTCATAACCCATCTTCCCAATTAAGATTTGTAGAAAATACCCTTATGCCCTTAGCTGCATTAGTCAGGCATAGAAGAAAGACATTCTCCTGCATCACACTCAAGATTGTGAAATGGTTTCCTTTCCAAGCTTAAGTTGGCTCCTATTTTCTTGACATTTAAGATATATCTCATTATTTTGGATTTTAAATTGCTAGTAATTGTTTTAATGTGGTTTTAATGTTTAGTACGTCATTTCTGATTATTTACTGTTTAAGTTGTTGTTTATCAAATTGGTAATATTTGTGGAAAGAGAGTATGTAAGTAAAATAAATAAATGGAAAAAGAAAAAGAAGAAATGGGCAGTAGAGTAAAAGAAATCCATATCTCAGTATATGTGAGATTGAGACTTTAAATTGAAAGCTTCCACTTTCATTGGTGGGGAAAAAAAAAAACCCTACGCTTTCCCTTGATGTGTCCAAACTTGGAAAATATTGCACTTGTGTCACTTTAAACAAACTAACCAGTTCAAACCATGTAAAAGTGCTTGCAGATGCAGATTTGTTTGAATGAGTAAACACGTTTTCCAAGATTATGAATGATTGGAAACTGGTTTATTCAGATCCCAAAGTAAGTTCCTCATTACTTCCCCTCACAAGAAGAAGGAGGGAGAAAAGCTGGAGGAAGTGGGGGAAACATATTCCTGTGGTTCATTCCCATAATATTAACCATGGTTTAGCATTATGTTTTGATTTATGTCTATGTTGTGTTTCATTCAATAGATAATAGACAAGAGACAATAAGTTCATAAATTATTTGGGATCAGGTTATTTGAAGAACCCACTGCAGCCTTTCTGCATCAACATTTGAGGCAGGTTTTTTGTTCTAGCATGAAGAATCTTGAAATGGCTATATACCAGGGATTGGCCCTATTCTGTAGTAACCCCACAGTTTTGGAGCTCCTCACCCCAAGAAGTTTACATTGCTTGATCTTTGCTGTATTTAAAAAAAATATTGAAAATGTATTTTTTTCTACATATAACTAGCTTTAGTGTGCTATTATATAAGTAACATTTTATTCTGCAATTATTTTAATTTGTTTTTATGATTTATGTATTAAATGTGATTTAAATAGTTTCCTTATATATAGTTTCCTTACTTATATTTAAGCTGTATTTTTATTTCTGAGTTTGCCCTGAAAACGAGGCTACATAGCAAATTAAACTGAATTAAGCTACTCAGAGTTCACACCTGATTATGCTCACTATAGGAAGAACAGAAAGAGAAAGTAAAACATGTATATATTTTTATCCCTACTTTTAAAAAGCAAACAAAAAGGTAAACTGAAATATATAAAGAATAAATTGTCTTTATTAGCGAATAATTTGAATGGTATATTTTTCTGACTAGCTATCAGCTACATCTTCCTGAGTTGTTGTAAATAGTTTAAGAGATCAAGGTAGCAATTTATGACTGAGAAATATAACTTCTAGGCCAAGCTAGATCATTTATTACTTTTTCATCAGGAAAATTCCTACTTGGAACAATAAATCTTAGTACATTTTTTGTTCTAAAACTGAAAAAAAAGTTAAGGTATATAGAACATGAACAATGTTTGAAATCCTAAAGACTGACATAATACTATCCATAAATATATATCTTTATTCATATACATCTGTGTAGTTAAGAACAGAAATGGCATTTTTAAAATTTCAATTGTAGTTTGGAGAGACCAGCAGCAGAAAACAGATTATTTCTTAATATGTTTCCATAGTTATACAGTCATTTTGTTCCATTTTTTAAAAAAAATCCCCTTTCTTTAGCTCAATTATTTGTACAGTATCTGTTATCCAGTAGGTTTGAATATTTAGAAGTAGTTCTCAAATCTCAGAACTGAATATCACAGAATCATAAAGGTGGAAGGAGCCATTTAGGGTTGCTAAATCAACCTGTTGCTCATTGCAGAAATCCTAATTAAAGCAACCATGTCTACCTTCTGCTTGAATGCTTTCACTAGTTGCCACTTCCCTAGTTCCAAAGTTCAATGTCTCTTACCAGGATATCTTTCCTAACATTTATTTATACCCTTTACACAATTTTTATGCTTCCTCAGTCATTAGAATTTGAGGGGCTATTATTTGTAAAACAATAATAACAAGAAGCAATCTTAAAAAACAATTCCTCGTCTTCCTTCTAGTTGGTAAGGCAGGACAACAGCATCACCCAAAAGTTAAAATTCAAAAGCCGTATGAAAGCATTATTTTCACTTCCCTACTAAATAGAGGGAAGAGGGGGCCATCTTTACAAGGCAAGCAAGGTATTTTATATGGCTATAAACAGGTAGAGAGAAGGCAAGTTTCACAGTCCCTGCTCCCTTTCCTTTATGGAGGGGTGGGATTCATAGCCTTCACAAATCAAGTGGGTATCATGGATAGATTCTATCTGGAATATGTGGTCCTGAAGATAGGCAAGACCCAACCATTCAACTGGAATCTTCCATCCTATAATTAAGTCCATTATTCTGTGTTCTGCAATTTGAGAAAATACAGGACAGTTCATGGCTATCTTCTGTGTAAATCTTAGGATGTTGAAATTATATAGGACCTACCATATATAATTGTGGATAAGCCCATCTGTGGATAAGCCAACCCTCAAAATGTCAACCAAACTACCATGAAAAATGTGTCACCCATGGATAAGCTGATCCTCAAATTTTTAACAGCAGCAACAGGCAGGAAACTGCAAACTGTTACATCATCATTTATAAAGTTGCACAATTTTAAGGCAGTGACGATCTTTTAAAAATCTGAGCTGTGGTCCAAATTTTGGGGGTATATTTTGGAACCTAAAATGTTTGGCTTATTCCTGAATATATACAGTACTCCTAATTTCAAATCCTAACCATACCACTTCAAATTGCAAAGGGATGTGTGTGTATTACATGAGTCAGTGTTTTTTCGTAACAGAAGTTTTTCCTCTGCTTAACAAATGATTCTGTTGGGGAGGGAAGAGATAACCTAATTATTCTCTGGTGCACTATTTTATTATTTGAATGGCATTGGATGGGGAACATTCCATCATGTGAATGTACTCTAAATGCCATCTTTACAAGTAGTCCTCAGTTTACAACCATTTGTTCAAAGTTACAGTGGGGCTCAAAAAAATGACTTACAACCGGTCCTCACACTTATAACCATTGCAGCATCCCTGCAGTCACATGATCAAAATTCAGGTGCTTGGCAACTGGCATGTATTTACAACTGTTGCAGTATCCCGGGGTCCCGTGATCACTATTTGCAGCTTTCCTGGGGGGCTTTTGACAAGCAAAGTCAATGGGGGAAGCCGGATTCGCTTAACTACCATGTGATTTGCTTAACGACTGAGCCAAAAAAGGTCATTAAATTGGGTGTGACTCACTTGACAACTGCACTGCTTAGTGACTGATGTTCCAGTCCCAATTGTGGTCGTAAATCAAGGACTACCTGTAATCCAAAGTGGTTTATCTTGCAAAGAAAGTATTATAATCTATAGTCTCA